GATCAACCCTGACTGCTCTTTAGAAGGCCAGATACTGAAGATGAAATTCAAATATTTTGGCCACCTAATGAGAAGGAAGGGTTGATCTCCTCTAGGACTGACCAGTTTGATCGCCTTGTGGTCCAAGGGACTTGCAGGAGTCTCCGCCAGCACCACAATTCAAAGGCCTCAATTCTCTGGCGCTCAGCCTTCCTTATGGTCCAGCTTTCACAGCCATACATTGCAACTGGGAAAACCAAAGCCTTGACTATACGCACTTTTGTTGGCAGGGTGATGTCTCTGCTTTTTAGTATGCTGTCTAGATTTGCCACAGCTTTCCTCCCCAGGAGCAAGCATCTTTTAATTTTTTGGCTGCAGTCCCTGTCTGCAGTGATCTTGGAGCCCAGGAAAATAAAATCTGTCACTACCTCCATTTCTTCCCCGTCTATTTGCCAGGAAGTGAGAGGACCAGATGCCATGACCTTAGTTTTCTTAATGTTGAGTTTCCAGCCAACTTTTGCGCTCTCCTCCTTCACCCACATCAAGAGGCTCTTCAGTTCCTCTTCACGTTCTGCCATGAGAGTGGCATCATCTGCATATCTGAGGTTGTTGATATTTCTCCCAGCAATCTTAATGCCAACTGGTGATTCATCTAGGCCCGCCTTTTTCATGATGCGCTCTGCATATAAGTTAAATAGGCAGGGCGACAGTATACAGCCTTGCCGAACTCCTTTCTCAATTTTGAACCAATCAGTGGTTCCGTGCCCAGTTCTCACTGTTGCTTCTTGACCCAAATATAGGTTTCTCAAGAGACAAGTAAGATGGTCAGGTGCTCCCATCTCTTGAAGAACTTGCCACAATTTGTTGTGATCCATACAATCAAAGGCTTTAGCATAGTCAATGAAGCAGAAGTAGATGTTTTTCTGGAACTCCCTAGCATTCTCCATGATCCGGCGTATGTTGGCAATTTGATCTCTAGTTCCTCTGCATCTTTGAAATCCTGCCTGTACTTCTGGTAGTTCTCGGTCCACATACTGCTGGAG